CCGAGCTGCGAGCGCGGAGCTGCCGCCCCCGCTCATTCACGGCGCAAATCCCGCCTGGAGCATCATCCAGGGCTGGATCATCCAGGGCTGGATCATCCAGGGCTGGATCATCCAGGGCTGGATCATCCAGGGCTGGATCATCCACGGGAGGAGGATCCGGCAGCGCTGCCACAAAGCCCCGGCTCTGCTTTTCGCTGCGAAGATGCTCCCGGTGTTGTTGTGACCGCTGATGAAAAATTCCTCACGCTCCGCTCCAGCATGCCGGGATAACGCGCCGGGTTTTGAGGAAGGAGCTCCGGGAATCGCTCAGCCCCGCTCGGCTCGGGGCTTTCATTCACAATTAGTTTTACCCGCACCCAGGAGGCTCCACCCGCACGGCGCTCATTGGCTCGGGGTTATTTGGACACCCGCACCCTGCGGCATCCCCAGGAAATTGTAAGGACCTGTCCGACATCCCGGTATTGCTCTCGGGTGCTCCCCGGCTCTGGGAAGGATGGGAGAGCATTAAAAAGGATAAAAGGGAACAGAAATAAAGGCACGGAATTCTGTTCTGCAGGAACAAAGCGTGCAGGAATTCCTGCTCCATGGAAAAGCTCCACTGTCCTGGGATGCAGAGCCAAAGGGTCGAACCTCGGCTAAATCAAAGGATGGGGGAGCTGGCAGCTCCCTGCCAAGTTAATTCCAATATTTTTTAGAGTCTACGTATTTAAAATGGAAAAAAAACAACAGGAATTTTATATCTGGATATAAACATCAAGTTCTAGTTTTCCAAGTATAAAAAGCAACGTTCAGGTAAGGAAGTTAAAGACAAGGAGCTGAGTGTAGGAGCACAATAAATCCCTGAGGGATTTTTTTTTAAATTGGTCAAAATTAGGTGACCAAAAATGCAAATACAAGAAATGTTTTTAAAGGAGGAGGAGACAGGGAGAGATTGTGAGGAAAGTGCTCTGGTTGCACAGTGCAGGCATCGATTCCACAGCAAATCCCTGTCCATCATCCCAGTCCATCCCAGTGGGATTTTCCCCATCCCTGTCCATCCATCCCAGTGGGATTTTCCCCATCCCAGTCCATCCCAGTGGATTTTTCCCCATCCCTGTCCATCCCAGTGGGTTTTCCATCAAATATCCCAAAACATTTTGACAGGAACACCAGCGTGCCTTCCTCAGTTTCCAGCAAAGCCTTATTTATCACAGAGACCTTCCCTTCAGAGGAGTTCCACAAAAAAAACCCAAATAAACCAAATAAACCAAAATATCTGCCCCAACCTTGCTTAAGGGCAGTAGAACTCCAGTGGGATTTAATCCTGAGAGGTTCAGGCAGCAGCAGAACGGGAATATTGGATAATTTAGGAATTTTGACATGGTGGGCTGGGATCTGTTACTGCACTGACAGGCAGGGAGAGACAAAGGGGAGCCTGGGAGCTGAAGGGGGAATCAAATCCACACAAATGCTTTGGAGCTGGAATTCCTAACAGAAATAAAATTTGGAATTCCAAACAGAAATATAAAATGGAATTCCAAACAGAAATAAAATCTGGATTTCCAAACAGAAATAAAATCTGGATTTCCAAACAGAAATAAGAATGAACTTTCTAACTCTAATGGGATATTGGAGGGGGTTTGTGAGGATACATCTGGTATTAGAGAAATTTCCATGCCTTTTCCTAAAGCTTTTCAAAGGGCAGGGAGAACAGAGGGAAATCATTTTAAAAGCAATAAAAGTGTGCTAAAAGATAAAAGATGTGGCCATTAAGGAAGTGCCTCCCCATCATTTGGCCATCCATTAATTAGTAATGAATTGGCAGCCTCAGAGCCTGGAGCAGGTGAGATGGGCAGGAAAATTCCAGAGATTGGAGCTGATGAGGAGGGAGAGGAGCCAGGGGGAGGAAGAAAAGCTCCATTCCCTTGGGAAAAGCAGGAAGAGAAGGAACACAAAGTGCACCCATCAGGGGAATGCAGGAGCTTCTCCAGGCTGAGGCTGCTTGGAGCATTTTGAAGGCTCATCCTGAGCACAGGAGATTTTTTTTCCAACACCTTCCAGCTCCTGGTGACAATAGATCCACGTTTCCCTGACACAATTCCCTGGGAAAGGTCCCAGCACAGCTCTCCTGGAGCTCCAGCTCCCACCCCTGACGCTGCCAACTTCACAAACACACACACACAGGAGCCTGCAGCCAACATCTCCCAATTCTCCCTGGATTCATGGCTTGGAATTCTGGCCAGACACGCTGCTGCACTCCAGGAGGAGCCCAGAGGAGGTGAGAGGCAGACACTAGAGCTGACTGGCAGGAAAGCTGGGAGCTGAAAATCCTGGCAGGAATTCCTTGTGTTTGAGCAGCCAGGGCATCAGAGCTCATGGAATCATGGAATCATGGAATGGTTTGGGTGGAAAGGCCAAAAAAGCCCAACCAGAGCCACCCCTGCCATGGCAGGGACATTTCCACTGTCCCAGGCTGCTCCAGCCCAGCCTTGGGCACTGCCAGGGATCCAGGGGATCTGGGAATTCCAGCCCAGCCAGGAATTCCTCCCCAATATCCCATCTAAATCCATCTTCTTTCAGCTCACAGCCATTCCCTGGGTGCTGTCCCTCCCTGCCTTGTCCCCAGTCCCTCCCCAGCTCTCCTGGAGCCCCTTCAGGCCCTGCCAGGGGCTCTGAGCTCTCCCTGGATCCTTCTCCTCTCCAGGTGAGCACCCCCAGCTCTCCCAGCCTGGCTCCAGAGGGGCTCCAGCCCTGCAGCAGCTCCATGGATTCCTCTGGATTTATTCCAGCACCTCCAGCTCCTCCCTGTGCTGAATTCCCAGGGCTGGGGCAGCTCTGCAGGTGTGGCCTCACCTGAGAGGGGCAGGACCCAGCCCAGTCTCACCCATCATCACTCCCAATCCTCCCAGGATTTTTTTTTCCATCTTTCATCCCAAGCCTGGGCTGACCCCGGGAGCACAGGGCCGGGTTTACAAATGAAAATAATTCCCAAACAAATCCCTGAACACCCAAGGAACAGCCCAGACTGCACAGACCTGGCCATCAGCACCGATTATTGTCTGCAGCCCAAGAGAACAATTCCATCAGAAAAGGGATCAGAAAGATGAAGGAATTGTTGAGGAGGCAGAAAAGACGATTGAAGGAAAGTGCCTGGCAGGAAAATGAGACCACTTGGAAGAAAAAGGACAATGAAGGAAACTTCCAGAAGTTTAAGTGCACTTGGGTGAGATTCCATCCCCACTTCCCAACTCACTGAAGAGTCTGGAAGTTTTAATCTATTTAATTAAAATAACTGATAGGGTGGGAAACAACATTTCCAAGCCTGCAACTCCTCATTAAAAGCTGATCTGGAGTGTGCTGAGAGCAATTGCTAAGCAACAAAAACACATTTTTTTGCCTTTTAACAGCATCATGATTTACCTGTTCCCGAGTCCTGATAGCCAGGATGGAGTAAAACACCAGGGAAAAGGGAATTGTGAAGTGTCCTACACGCTCCAGTAGCAAAGGAAAAGCTTTTAGTTGACTTTTTACAGCACTTTTCAGCCAGGGGCTGAGTGAACTGGAAAATTCTTCCTCACATCTAAAGCATATTTAGGTAACAACTGTCAGGAATTCCAGTTCCACTGTTCCATCCATCCCAAGGGCATCCCAAAAATATTTCAGCAACCCCACAGTAAATTAATTAGAGAATTGTTTTTTTTTTTTCAAGGGATTGTGCTTTGCTGGTGCTGCTTGGGCTTCTTTTTCCAAGCAAGGAAACCCAGGGGAAAAAAATATTTTTAATCAAGTACAAAGTCTCCTTTCCAGAAATCCTGGCTGATAGAATTCCCTCTTTAACAGGAAAAATAAAATTTTGATTAAACTTCCAAACAATCTGAAATTTAAGAATTTTCTTTGTAAAATAAAAATCGCGGATCCCCTCTGTGTGTTTTAATTGCTGTTCAGTAATTTGTTAATTAATCCATGGAATATCCATGTGCTCCTTTGCTGGTTCTGGAATTATTTTAAGGTCCCTCACACACAGCAAGGTTTCCTTGGCTTAGATCAGGCCTAGGATTGGAAAGGTCAGGAGAGATGAACAATTCCAGAGCATTTATTAAAGCTGAGGATGCACAAGGGAAGGATTCAAGCCCTTAAAAATCCCTTTTAGAACTAAAATTAGACCACATTTGATGGGGGAAAAAAAAAAAAATCCATTATTGAGCCAGGACATGATGGAATTTCACAGCACTGTCCCTATTAATGTGGATTAATGGGTTGGGAAAGGATCCATGATGGATTTCCAGGAGAGAAATTCCAGGAGCCAAGCAGATCCAGGAGCTGTGGGAGAGATGAACACGAGCCTGAAGAGGAGGAAGGGAAATCAGCCAAAGCACATTCCCAGTAGGAAATAAAAGGAAAAAAAGCTGGACTTGGGAAAGGGAGGGAAAAAGAGATTTTGAGGAAAAACAAACCAAGCTAAGGCAGGAAAAAAAAAACCCTATAAAAACAACAACATTTTCTCGGTCTAAACAACACAGTGACTGGAGAGGAAAAAAAAAAAAAAAAGGAAATGAGAAGGACTGAGAGAGTGGAGAATATGGGAATTGTCATTTGTACTGGAAAATAACTCGGTTACAGAGGCAGCAGCAGAGCACAGAATGAATCTGCACTGGAAATGTCACAGGGCTGACAGGGATGTGATCCCGAGCTCAGCCCCTGAGGCAGCACCAGGAATAAATCAGAGCAAACCCAGCAACCCAGACAGGCAGAGATGAAGAAAAAGAATCCAAGAGAGAAAAATGTCTGCAGCAAGACAAGGAAAACATCAAGGAACTGGAGGCTGGGGAAGGGAAAGCAGGGAAAATGGGGCTGGGATGTGGAAGGGGATTAAAATGTCAGGCAAGCCTTGGAGAGAGGCTGGGAGGAAAAAGAGGAGAAGGTGGCAGGGATGGGGAGAGGGGAGCTGGGAGCAGCACTGGAAAAGCTGGGAAAGATTCCCAGGAAATCCAAAGCTGGAGGGGAGGATGAGTTTGTGGCACAGAACTGGGAGTGGAGGAAAAAAAGGGAAAAGACAGGAAAGGAACAGGAGAGGAAGTGATATAAAATCGAATTAATTTTTTCCCTTATTTTCCCTTCCACCACGTGCAGGAGATGCTCTGTGTCCATCCCAGGTCACTGCCACTAATTCCATCGGGGACACACCAGTCCTGCCTAATTCTACTCCATCCTAGTCCCAGTTTTATTTCAGCTCCCTCAGAGCAGCAGCAAATCTGCTGTTAGGCTCGACCTAAACACCCCACTGGCATTGTCACCATCCCACCCAACTCTGGGGGGGTTAAAATGGTGATTTCACCTGGAAAATTGGAATTTCCATCAGCCACATCCCCCTGGCAAGGCAGGAAAGAAAAGCTCCCCCTTCCAGAACACACAACAAAACTCCAGGGTTTAACAGGAGTGAAATGAAATATTTGGGAGCATCATCCCTTAATTTGT